GTGCTCCATCAACATCTTCTACACAACCATTATTTTCCTTTTGCTTACAAGGGGGAGCACACATATGTTCCAATTACCCACAAAGGCTATTGGCTGGTAATTATCCATAATGAATCACTGATAAACCTTTGCAACAAATAACATGCTATACAAAATGTTTTTGTGTTCCTCTAACTATTTTCACATCCAAATGCAGTTTGACATGGGAAACGTCCAAATTGATGGTGAAACAACTGGTATCTATGACTATATGAATATGAACACAGTTAATAATATTTATGAAAGGGGGACCTTTCTATTTCTACTGTAGTTTGACATTTTTGAGAGGGGAAACCATTCAATGTTATTGGTCCAGTCTTAATTATTATTGATAAATCGTAGTATACTTTCTCTAATTTGAACGTTTTGAAATATTACAAAGTTGACCTCAAAGTTAAAACTGTTTGCATTCTATTGCTTTTGATTTAGAGTCTGTAATTTCTAAGGAATCAAAACTAAACTTAATGAGAAAGCTATAAAAGATTCCGAAGTTTTAGGTATTAAATTTTAATCAACAGTCTAACTGTTGTCTTGTGACACTAACCCAATGTCACAGAGAACATTTATTAAGAAGGATTATATTATATCATATCATATGAAGTAGATTTCAAGCATTTATCTAAGGTCAATTTTTCTAGTTGATGTATTTAACCTTCATGTTGTTAAGGTTTAACAAAAAAGTTTTTGGGTTTAATTCTTTCATATATGTAAGTAATATGATGTTAATATAAACAGATACGTGAGAAGAGGGAAGTGTTAACAAACATGTTAATATAAGTTCCATTTTTTGATAAAAGGAATAGAGAACAGAGAGGAAGCAATGAAGGCATGGTTAGTATTTGTACCCATTTGAATAATTTCACTTTACTTTGTGAGAAAGAGAGTGAAAGAATTAGAAGTTAGAAGGAATTTAAGGTGCATAGACATTGAGGAAGGGACAAAAGGAAGAACTTTAGCATTGGTATGGATATTTGTTTAATAGCCGCACTTGGCACCACCATACCATAACGGAACGTCAAAGCAAACATGAAACGTCATTCTATTCTTCTACTACACATTTTTATTTGTCGGCTAACAAGTTCATCATTGGATATGAGCAAAGTAGCATACCTTTTTCCCTTTTATGAGTCTCACAAACAAAGCAACAATTTTCAAACTTCAAATCAAAACAATGCCATTATCTATCTTTCTTTTTATTTTTCTTTTTTGTCAAAGCTTTTTTAATTAGAGTTAGGTGATGACCAATTTAAATAACAAGGAGATTGGATTTTTTTAAATATTTTTTTGGATTTGAGAAGTTTCTGTCTCTTAATTAGTGTTTGCTACAGAGATCATATTTTTGAAAAAGTGATATCAGAATTATTTTTTCATCTTTTATTTAAACTATTTCTGAGAATGTTAATTTATGAATAAATAAAATTAAAAAAATTTCACCACAATTGATAGTAAAGTTACTAAACTTTCCCATAATAATTAACTAAAAAAATAGTATTACTAAGAAATTTGAATAATAATAATAATAATAATAAGTCAGATTTATACATATATATTCAACTTTTTATTTTATTGAAAAAAAATTTCACTGAACTAACTGCTATCTTAAATGATTTTAATACTCAACTCTCTACTAAAATTAATTAGGGTTCAAAGTATTTTTAAAATATCGAAAGTTTTAATATTTATTTAATTTAGTTTTTTCTTAAGAAATAGTTATGTTTTAATAGTTTTATATAAAAAAAAACCTAAAAAATAATTGTTTATTAAAAAAAAGCATTTTCAAACAATCATCTAAACTAAACAAAAAGTGATCTCCCAAATTAATCCTTAAAATCATACGGGTGCTTGAATTATTGACTTCACAAAAATTATTCATTTTAATCTATTCTTATATATAAATATATATTTTCTATTTTATTATTATTTTGTGTTAAAAATCAACCAAGTAAATGGAATTTTATAGTTATTTGAAAAAATTAAAGACTAAAATGTTTGATTTGTACAATTTTAAATACGAATTTAAGAATTTATTTAATTAATGAGTTAACATATTAAAAATAATAATTTTCTTGTCGCTTATTATTTTTTATTGAGTTAATTGTAACTTTAAATGTGATTGGATTCAATATGTTTGTTCAGACTGTTTGATTAGCTACTTTCCGTTTTAAATAATTATTATTTTAAAAGAGTCAATTTATTTTGATTTTTTTCTTTTTTTTAAAAAAAGAAAACATTCAGCGTTTTTAGTTTTGTTGTTTGAATAGTTTACAAGATAGAATGAGAAAAAATAATAAAAATTTATTAAAATATATCTAAATTTAAAATAATGAATAATTTGTAACTCTCATATTGATCATAAACAGTAACTATTTTGAACATAAATAAAAAGGAGTATTCAGAGAATACCTGATTGGCGTTGCACCAAACACATGGACCGTTGGTGTCCTCATATATAAAACGTGCTTTTTATTCTCGTAATTCACACGTGTTCCCCCTACGTGTTCAGAAGGGCCCCACCACCTTGTTCTTTTCCCATAATACCCCAAAAAAGAAAACAGAAAATAGGACCACGTGACTTACGTATGGTCGAAGCATCCTTTCTCAATAACACCATTCTACCTTCCCACTTACGTCATTGCCATCCCATTTTTAGTTAATTAATTGTGTTTTTCATAAAATAAAAGTTGAAATTTCTTATTTTTAATTTTGATTCATTCAACTCTAAAATTTTATATTCATCATCATTCGATCGTCTGTTAGTGTTACATTATCGAGGACAAAAATTAACCATCAAAATAGAATTTGGGATTAAAAAATGTTAAAAAGTGTAAATAGTGAAATTAAGAAAGTTGCACTGTTCCAACTAACTGATGTAATATGACAGAAATGGAGAAGATGGGTAATTGTAGAGAATAGAATTGGCTTCTATGCGTTTGCTTGCTGCGTAAATAAGTAACAGATAACTGTGCATCCCCACACCATAGCTACTCCCACCTCCTTATTTTCTATGATTTGCACTTTCAACCTCTAAGCACTTTTTAAGTACCCTTTAGCTTCTATTTCACACCACCAAACCATGTCACCAAATCCCCTCATTTTTAATTAATTATGTGCTTTCATGTTAATCTATTTAATTACAGTTTATTAATCTATTTTTCACATTCTGATTTCTACAAGTTAGAGTCAACGTTTATTTAACATAATAGTATTTATTGAAACTCTAATTTAAATTTTGATCTAACAATTTCATGTGCTCAGTGGTACTAAGTTAAAAATATTAATAAAGTTTTTTTTTTATTAAGTAAACTTCATTGTAATTTAATTAAATGGCATGAGCTTCATTATTTTAATAAATAACTCCAACATAAATATTATTTAAAATAATATATTAATAAATATATTAGCATCTCTCATAATAGATTTGGTGAAATTAGAAGAGGGTTAATGATCTGTCAATCCATCACCCGCCTTGCAATGATTTTAGATTGTTTCTGAAATGACACTTTTTGACCACAATTGATTAGTAAAGCGAAATCAGAGAGCATTGATCCAATTGTCTGGTGCCAAATGATTGTTCTAGTTTAAAACTGAAAAAGAAAAAATGAAAATGAAGGTGCTTAGAGGGTAAAGAAAACTGAAAAGGAAAAAGTGAGTGTACTTCATTTTACACTTTGTGTCACTGAGAAATTATGATGATTGCTTTACTTGGGAGATAATAACCAACCATTATAAGGGTTGTATTTGGATTAACAAAACAATATCAGAATTGGGGTTCTAGAAGCAAGCGTGGAGTAAAGTGACAATTGGTACTTTTGGGTTCAATTTTCTGGGTACTGGCGATAAAGCTTGATAAAGTTTTCAACAACTTATGGGATTGAAGTACGTTGCACTTTTTCATGAACACATTATCATGACAAATAATTGAAATGGAAATGCTGTTAATTTCACAAATACAAGGGAGTGGTTACTTTACATTCAAATTGGCCAATCCAAATTCTTCCAGTATTCAATGAGTTTCATATGGGTTCAACCCCTTTCCCTTTTCAAAGCTGCAAAATATCCATTCCTCACACCAAAAATATCATCCAAATCCAACTGATACTGCACTTTTGGTGCACTTTTTACCAATCACATTACATCACAGTGTTGCGAAGCTTCTTAATTAAAGACTTGCAATTTAGGACAATAAAAAATAAAATATTCACAGAGATCAATTTATTCGCATACAGGGTCAATCTTTGATTTAATATTAATTTGTGATTTATGGTGTGAAGATTAATTGTAACTCTAATTAATTCCATCATAACAAGATGCTATTTTTGCTAGTTTTACATCAAACATGGCAAAACGATGGATCTTACTATCTAATTTTGACTTTTAACAAAACTATTGCACGTTTTGACCAGTACTTTTATTGGCCCTATGGAATTGAAATTTGTGGATTTTATATGTTGACAAATAGAACAGCTTCCATAAAAAAAAGATACTAAACTTGAACCACATTGGTGGTTGAACCCACCCCATGTTAATATTTTCAAAGTGCAGCGAAGTATGATACAAAACAAGGAATCCCCTCTTAATTGCCCCTATTATCTACCTAACTCGGACTCTTAATCTCTCTACTCCTTCCCTTACACCAAACTAAATCCAAATCCAAATATTAATTCAGACAGTGCACTCAAAGACTTATTCATGCTAAAACCTTGTCCACGTGTCAATCATTAAGTTATCACAGCTAAAATATGATAGCCACATAAATTGTGCCACGTCAATAAACTCCCGTTGAAGGAACACTCACCTCAATTGAGAGAAAGAAAAAAAGTTTCAACCAATTAAGTAAACCAACCAATAAAACAAACCCAAGAAACTCAAACTCAAAGTGAGTCCATATTTATTATATAAAGGCTGCAGTTACAAACAAAGACTCTGCACTCTCTCTGCAGCAGAGCCTTTAACACAGAAACATGGAGTGGACAAGAGGCACCATCATAGGACATGGGTCGTCAGCCACCGTGTACATCGCCACCTCCTCCCACTCCTCCACCGTCTCTGCAGTCAAATCGGCGGAACTATCACTTTCACACTCAGAACAGCTGCAGAGAGAACAGAGGATTCTGTCTTCTCTGTTTTCTCCCCACATAGTTAGCTACAAAGGCTGTAGCATCACAAAGGAAAACAGAACTCTCTGGTTCAACCTCTTCATGGAGTACATGCCCTTTGGAAATCTCTCTCAGGTGACTCGCCGGCACGGTGGCCGGCTCGATGAGCCGGCGATTGCACACTACACACAACAAGTCCTGCAGGGGATGGAGTACTTGCATGAAAATGGTATTGTGCATTGTGACATTAAGGGTAGTAACATATTGGTTGGTGAAGGTAGAGTTAAAATTGGAGACTTTGGATGTGCCAAGTTTGTGAATGAATCTCCGGCGATGATCGGCGGCACGCCGATGTTCATGGCGCCGGAGGTGGCGCGTGGGGAAGAACAGGGGTACCCCGCTGATGTTTGGGCACTTGGGTGCACAGTGGTTGAAATGGCCACTGGGTTTGCACCATGGCCTAATGTGGAAGACCCTGTTACAGTTCTTTACCATGTTGCATATTCTGATGAGGTGCCTGAGATTCCTAGTTTTCTGTCTGAACAAGCAAAGGATTTCTTGGGGAAGTGTTTTAGGAGGAATCCTAAGGAGAGATGGAGTTGTAGTGAATTGTTGAGGCATCCATTTCTTTTGGAATTCTGTTCCAATGGTAAGAAAATTCAAGAATCTAATAATTCAAGTTCACCAACAAGTATTCTTGAGCAGGGCTTTTGGAATTTTCTTGAAGAGGCAGAGTACCTCTCTGGCAATTTGGTTCAAAAAAGTACTGAGAATTCTGCTGCTGGTAGGATCAGAAGACTAGCTGTGTTTTCAGGGGATCCAATTTGGATATGGGATGATGAGAATTGGATCACAACTAGAGGCAATGATGCAGTGGCTTCAACTAGTGATGGGTTAGATTTGGATGCTAATGGTAGAATTAGTGGTATTTTTTGTGCGAATTATAAAAGTAGGGATGTTAATAGTGTAGGTTATAGTCTCAATTTTGAGAGAGGCATTACTGAGATGCTTCTCCCTTCAACGTTGGATTTTTTATAATTAAATTAATTGAGAACCTTTTATTTTCTCAACGTGGCATTAGATGTCAATGTTGCAGTTAATATCTTATGCCCTTTCTTGGCCACAAGCCTAACTCGATTTATGTTTGGTGGGCATGTTTGGTTTAATTGCCTAAAGCCCTTGTAAAATTGAATTTTTTTTTTTCATTTGGTGAAATAGGTGAATTGAAAAAAAAAAAAAAAACCTGAAAAATAGAATATGCATGGCATGGCAGGCCCCAGGTGTTTACTTCAGTTTTAAACTCCCAACCTCTTTCTTCTGTTCTTTATTTGTGTTGGTTGAATGGAAATGAGGCTTAGGGAACCAAGGTTAGTGCAACATCTCTAAACAGTCTCTCTCTCTCTCTCTCTCTCTCTCTCGGTGTGGATGGCTATGCCATCTATTTTGCCTACTATTTATCTGTCCAGTGTATTGGTAGGCCCAGAAATAAAATTCCAAAACTCTCCAATTAGTTAGAAGGTAAATCTACTGATGAAATTCTTCTCTCTTGTACCGAACCCGTATGATAAAACAGGTGGCAGTTTTAAAAGCAAAGCGAATATGCGACAAATGCTACGTTAGGTGAATGTGGGTTAATGTCAAATCCATAAATACCAATACATCATCATAAATACAAATGAAACACAGAGCAGTTGAAATACTCTGGAGTCGTGAAATTTGGTCAACCCCCGCTAGGTTGATTAATCTTGTATGAATATTCTGAGCTTAGTCACCAAAATATAAACAAAACTTAAAAATCTTCTATGGTTAGAGATTAGATACAGTAGTGGCGCCTCCCCAAAATTGTAGAGTAACTTTCGTCTATCAAGGGACTAGCTTCTTTCAAAATTTAATTCATTAGTTTATTAACAAAGTTGCATTCTTGTCAATGCCCCATCCACAATTTACCCCTAAAGATAACATTATTTTGATACCTCCTTCCGAAGCATCTATGCTACTTAGGCCTCAAGATTTGAGAATCATAATTTTACTTTGGTGGTTGTTCTTTTAAGCCCATCCGGACAAATCATCCCAAGTTTAATTATTTTCTAAATTCGCTTTAGTATTGGTTCTCATATATTCCACTACGGATAATTTGATGTGGATGTGGGAATTGTAGTTCTAGGTGTCTGATATGACTAGTTGGTCGAAGACGCAATAGAAAAAGTAAGAGAAAGGAGAACAACTTCGATTAGCTTGTAGAAAGAAGTGGGGGAAGAACAGTTAGAATCTGATTTAACTAAGGTCGAACATTGTAGGATTGTAGCTATAAAAAAAATACGTACCCAGTCAATATCAGTAAATAGTCTATTTTAAAAAATCTATGTTGAAGTCTCATATATAATAGTTTACATAATTAAAATCTAATAGTGTGACGGTAATTCATTGAATTGGGTTGGCTTTCGAAGGGCTAGCTGATTTATGAATATGTAAATAACAGACCAAGATCTTGACAAAGAAAAACACCAAGATGAGGTCAAATTTTGGTTCCAATTAGGCCCAATTATTACCTATTTGACCTGACAGAAACAGATAGTTTGGTCTAAACATAAAAAATACAGTTGTCACTTGTATACAAAACTACCTTTCACAATTTTTATTTGCGAATAAGGGTTAGTGTTAAGAACAGTGTTAAGTATTGATATCAGAGACAATAAAAATGAGTTATGGTAACAATAAACAACTATATAACATATTTTCAATAAAAATCTTAAAGCCTTTTATTTGTTTTTGTTATACTACTCTTAGGTTAAAATATATATTTAATCTCTACAACTGACACTAATTTATGCATTAATTTTTGTATTAAAAAAACCGATAAATGAGTAGTGACAAAAACTAAAAAAAACTAAAATATAAATGACAAAAACAAACAAAAAAAACTTATAATTTATGGTGTTATAGTGACAAAAACTAAAAAAATATGTTGAAATATTCCTATAGGAACAAAAATATAAATTTTTTGATACAAGGATCGGTTGATAAATAAGCAGAGCCAACATGTACTTTAATCTTACTTTTATTTGATCTTAAATAAGGAAAGTTAAGAAAAGTTAAGAGACATGAAGAGGAGGAACAGATGCGCTGCTATATTTACTATTTATTATAGATCACCTACATCACTGTTTTCTGTCAGGAGCTAACGGAATGGAACTACACAAACTAGCTAGTTGATGCAAGATCGTGTTTATCATCTCTTATTCTTGGGACCTCTCCCATTATTTAATGATGATACCCCTTTTCGTCTTTCTATTTCATCCATTAGTTTGATTGGTTATTGTACATCTAGCATGAACACATTTATGTCCAAAGTTCACTGCATAAGGCGTAAGTGACTATGAATATAATCTTAAATTCATATTAAAGCTATATAAGCCCATTCTTTGAATGGGTTCCATTCTATAACCTCGTTTATCTGGTCCATGGCGCAATGCCCCATCCCCGTGCAAAAACAGAAACAGAAGCACACCAATTACAATTGAAGTTGAAACCCGATTTCTATGCTTCACCCAGGTTAAGTTACATCCAAGTACCCCAACGGTTCCTCTAGATAATCCTACGATAAAAGCTTCTCAAAATTCATCCAATCTGCAACTTGGTAGTTGGTTCATTTAAATAATTTCTAACCTCAACATTAGATTAATTAATTTCAAGTGAGAGATTCAAGAGGAAAAAAATCCATCGGATATTTTATTTATTTAATTACATATATAAAAGGATAACTTCATTATTAAAAAAAAATTGTATATACAAAATCAGTCTATACGGTAACAACATCAAACATTTAATAATATAATAACTCATCAGGTTTTTATCTTATCCTATCACATGCTCCAAACATGGCCTAATAATATTCGTAAATATATCTAACCCACTCAATCTGCGTAACATCTCTCTCCTCTTTATACACGTAAAAGTATATCCAACACTGACCCAATTCTCTTATGCAAACACCCATGACTAATTGATTTGCTAGATATTTGAACCATCACATACTCTTTTTGTCATCAAAATGGGAAGAGCTGTGATCAATACCCTTCAATTGACTCCGAAGATTCTGATTGTCTGTCAAGAGGCGATCATATTCCATAAGGAACCCTTCAGATTGCTTCCTGAGAGCCTCCACCTCAGCTTCCAAGGCCTTGGCCGTGCTTGCTTTCACCTCACACTCGGATTCAAGTTCCTTAATTTTGGGCTTCAACGTGGCAATTTCTTCCATCAATGCCTTGTTGTGCTCCGCTGCACTCCCACTTTTACCATCCCCGAAAATTCGACTCTGTTTCTTAGCAGCCTCCATGGCCTTCCTCAGTAACCGAAGCTCTCTGATGTAATGGTGCAATCTATCTATCATCAGAGACAGGAACAGCAAAAACCCTGCCCATATCACGTGTCAAAAATCAAACTCCACAACTAATACTAACATTACATCAAAAAATAGAAACAACTAACTCACAATGCTCCTGAACCACATTCACAACTATTTTCTTTTGTTTCTTAAATCAATTTGCGTAGTCCCCACAAGCCACGAGTCGAATAATAGTGAGTTACGTCAAAATATTTTACACAAATAATAAATTTTTATTTTTAAAAAAAACATTATTTTTGAATGTTTAAACTCGGAGGATAATAATATCGTTTGGATAAATAAGAAAAAGATTACTTCCTGAAAATAATTTTTAACTTAAAGCCTAAAGAGATATTTATTCTTTTTTCTTTTTACTAATAATTAAAAAAAATGACAATAGGTTATATGACGAATTCTAGCTAGCTCTAGGGTATCAGTCACCATGAATTAAAATTTCATATATATAGATAGAAAGCATTGCACAGTTAGAGAGCAATGCATTATACCATTATGCATAAAAATAGAAAAGAGAGGGAAAGAGGAATACCCAAAAGAGAAGCTTCGAGGACGTGCTTGGACATGAGGACTTGATCGGTAGGGTTGACAGCGGCAACTTCGAGGGTGCGACGCTGGATCTTGTAGATGCTGTAGAGGGAGGAAGCGAGGACAAGTAGGAACGTGGCGACGATGGTTTTGACAACGACGGGGCCCCGACCACGCTTGACTCGATCCAAGGTGATGATGACAAGCTTTCTGGCGGGTGTCTTGAACAGAAAGGTGATGACGACGAACATTTGGGCGAAAATGGCGGTATAGAGAAGCTGCAACATGGTTAATTATGGGAAGGGAAGAACCCTAGAATTGAATTGGGAATGAAGAAGGAGGAGGGGGTGGAGTGTTGTTAATAAGTATTGAGATTGGAGCGCGTGGGTTGTGTGTGCGTGCGTGTCGGCCACAAGTCGGAGAGTCGACATGATGCAGGTAGAGAGGTAGATGTTGGGTATGGGAATGGGATGAATGGGAATTCCTATGGGTATGGGTACAAGCGTCAATTCCTTCGTTTTCCTCCCTCTTCTCTCTTTATTTCCTAACGGTCAACTCTTCCAACGCCCATCTCCCTCTTCCCATTCTCCAATCATTTATTTCAACCAAATCTTAAAGTATACTGGTTAACAAATTAAAGTGATTTTTTTTTAAAATTACAATTTATAGTTTTTATTTTTTTAATTTTCAATACAATTGAATATATATTGTTTTAAAAAACTTAGCACTGCATTTCGAGAGTGTTTTACATTTTTTTAAAAATAAATTAAAAATATTACTTTCATTCTAATTTAACTATTAAAAACAAACTATACAAATCACATAATCTAATAATTTGTTAAATTATTTGTTAATTTTTTATTTACCTTTTATTAAACATTTAAATTATTCAACTAGTATCGATGATTTATTTATTCTACTTTAAATTTTTATATAAACAAAAAAGATATTAATAAACAACTATAAAATATCAAAAGAATTTTAAAACGATCTAAAAAAACAAAAAAAAAAAAAACGAGAAAGTCGAGTCTTTCACCCTCTTTTAGACTATTTAAGAATTTAAAACTACTACTAAAGAGTAGTATCACTTAATGTAAAAGGAGGAGAAGGCTGTCGCGACAATAAATCTGCTGACATCTGCTTTTCAACTTTGTTAGTGTTCCTTGTTACGTATTCTCTTTTGAAAATTTTCTGAAATCAACCAACTAACAAAAATGGGAACTAAGTATTTTGAAAAATGTTGAGAGATTAGTCAAGACAATCTCTACAATCTTACCACATATTATATTATATTATATATATATATATATATACACACAAAAAAAAAATCTTTTTATATTCTAAAAACTCTTTCGCTTCATCTGAAACTTAACCTTTCATTTAACTTAAATTTAACGGATAGTAAGTAATAAATTATAACCAATTAAATTTAAACTAAATAAAAAATTCAAATTGAATGTAAAAATTTTTACACTTACATTAATAAAATCTGACCCATATATATAATATATGTATATCATAAGTTTTCCCGAATTAGACTACAATTATGATACCCCACAATTTCACGGGTAGAATGAAATAGAAAACCCGGACCTTCAAAATCCCACTAAATTCAAGGGGAAAGAGCCAAGATTCATGGGCAGAGGCAACTACAGTGTGCCAATTGCCTACATGCATCAGCGCAGCAATTGCAGTTACTGTTTGCCAGATGGTTGCCAAAACATATTATCAAGGAATGGGACTAGATGTATCGCATCCTTGTACACCTCTAAGCATTTCTGTCAAAAACATAGTTCCGCAAAATGAATGACAAGCGTCCACAAAATTTCATGTCGAGCTAACAAGCCTGCTTAGGTAACAAATAAAAATCTCAAGTCTGCCTCCGTCAATTTCCCCAAAGCGTCAGAAGAGCCACCTATAGTCCTATTGAGGGAGAGGGAGAAAAAAATATCAGCATAGGAAAGATGGGCAGCAACTTTCAACCTTGTTCATACATCACAACCACTTACCCTTCAAACACTAATTCCTTCTTCTCTTGCAGTTTCAAAATTCTCTCCTCGATTGTGTTCTCAATAACAAACCTCACAATTCTGTGCAAAAAAAAAAATGTCAGATCATTAAGAAAGGACCAACCTACGTTTTTACTCTACATTTCCATCTTAGATTGTTCTACTTTGAAAGTGCTAAAGAGCAAGAACCAAAACCTTATAGGTTTATATTGCCCTATTCGGTGAATTCTGTCTTGAGCCTGACGCTCCACCGCCGGGTTCCACCAAGGGTCCATAAGGAAGACCTAACCACACCCAACAAACGAAGTCACACTCAACATACTTCAGATTATTACAAAAAGGAATGATGAAAAAAAACAATCGTCGCAAAAAACTCAGACAAGGATACCAGCATAAAGTCATTGGTTAATTGCAACCAAATTTAGGAACAGATTATTTTCAAATAAAAGTAGCTCCATAAACATTGGAGGTGAATAAAATCATCAACAAAACTGGAGATAAACAAATTGGTCTACACTAGAAATGTAAAACACAAATGCACTGATGTAGGAAATAGAAGCCTTGATCACTAACAATCCAAACTGAGATGTAAACTTGTAGTTGTCAACATTTTAAAAAAATAATAAAAAAAAGCAGGATACCAAAAGATTGGCAAAAGAACAATGAGATTGCTCACATGTGAAGCTACTGTCAAATTGAGTGCAACACCTCCAGCCTTCAAGCTCATGAGAAAAATTTTGCAGTCTGGATCATTGGTGAACCTCTTAATGGCAGCATCCCGAGCAGCCAATGACATGCTTCCATTCAACTGAACACAAGATACTCCAGACTGCAATTAACACATGACGTTATCATCCTAATGCATTGCACATGTATCAATAAAAAGGTTGACAATTATATTACCTTGTGCAAAGAGTAGTTTATGAGATCCAAGAATGATGTGAACTGACTAAAAACAATTCCTTTGGCAGAACCATCCCTTTCAATCATGAATCTTATTTCTTCTCTCTACAATCATTCAATCCATTTAGGTAAAAGGCTAGGTAGTAAAAGGTAAGCATAGCACAGAAGATATTGAAGTAAAGAACAAAAAATAATAGCATTATTTGTATTTTTCTTCACAGCAGTTATACAAGCACTCTTCAGCTATTTACCCAAATGTCAGTCTCTCACCTTCCACTTGCCTCCCAGGCAACAAAAAAGTTCTCAATGACCATTTCCTTTCAATTGCATGATCTTTCGATAGATATGTTAGCTAAGAAAATTTTAAGAAGCTAAAAATCATATTTACAAACATTGAATTATTTTAAACATGCGTGCTTCATTTGAATTTCCAAGATGCACAGAATCCATTTCAAACTTTTCAGATTGTCAACTTCATGCAGAAACCACAATTTGTTTAATATTTGTCTTCTACACATGAAACCATTGCCATGCTTGTATAAACCTTATCCATCACACACCCCATTATTGCCTTTAAAATTCAAACATTAGAAAGCAAAAGGAAAAACATTATGATAGATAACCCCCACAGTTAGTTAGTTTGGCTGAACTGATAGGTAACTCCCATGGTTAGTTTGGTGGTTGGGTTGGGACTGTTAGTGAATTGAAAGCAGCCAAAAGCAGCAGCAACACATGCCATCAAGAAAAAATGTGGATTTTTCATATTACAGCTCAAGATCTACAATCATATGCAGTAGGGCAATCAAGGGAATTTGAGGATCTCATTATAACTATTGCAGCAATGATGATGCTTAGATTCATGGTTAAAAAATATGGAAGAAACAAGAGTATTGGAGATGTGTGGGAGAACCTATATATTTGTTTTTAACCCAGGGACCAGGAGTTAAAGATGTTTTTAACAGTAGGGTGTAGTTGGCTTGATCATCATGGTTCACTTAGTTGGAATCCCAATGGAACTTCAATTGCAGCTACCACAACTATTTAACTTGAGGACAAGGTGAAACTTTAGGAGAGAAGTATTGATAGACAACCCCCCACAATTAGTTGGTTTGGCTGGATTAATATGTAACTCCTACAGTTAGTTAGGTGGTTAAGTTGGGACCAAAGTTAAATAGTAAACTCTTCATAAAATAAAGCTTAATAATAAAGTTAAAATAATACTTAAATAGCCAAATCATGTAATGTGATTTTGGTGCCCTACTAGTAAATGCAGTGTTTTACAAATGCAAAGAGAGAAGAATAGTGGTACCCTAATTTCAAATGGTGTTATTTTAGTGAAGAAATGGATTTTTTCTTTATTTTGTAAGACTCACAAAAATCAGTTGTAAATTCACGAATTTTCTCAAGTTCAAACAAGTTTACCCAAAAACAAATTTACATGCAATTTGACATGATTTCCTTACCTAAAATCATAAACTCGTATGAATTTACAGGTTAAAATGCGAGTTTAACAACCTTGGTTGGGACTGTTAGTGGAGACTTCTATTAGTTACAAGTTGTAAACAAATAGGAATAAAAAGTAAAGAGTTGGAGAGAGAAGCTTGTCAATTGAAAGAAATAGAGCCTTTGGCTTAGGAGGTGCAGTCCCTTGAAGAACAATTGAGTGTGTTTTATTGAGTAAAGTTGACTTCCTCCATATATAATAAAGATACCAGGTTTATCTCACATTAAGACGACAAAAAGCTAGCCGAACTACTCACAGTATAAAGTCATGAAAAACCAGATAACATTTATCATGTAACTACTTTGTGATGCATACCAAAGCCTCTATTTTAGTGCTTGTCTGAAAGTTCTCAAGCCGAATTCTATTTAAAATGCTTGAGGATCTGAAACCCTTAATTGTTGTTTTATTAGCATGATCCCCAACTTCCTTGTTGGATGTTAAATCAACTGTAAGTAATTTACAGCAAGAAGGGCATGACACTTGTCCCAAGGAAGCAGAGAAGTCTAACAAGCATGTCTTGCAAAATATATGCTCACAAGAGGTAACCTGAAACAATAATGACTAGGTACTTAACACACTAAAAATTAGCTATGACAGCTGTTCTGAATAAAATACAAGATAGAAAAGGGAGAAAATAAAATGAAATGAAAAAAATACAATAAAAAAAATATTTAAAAAAACAAAACTAACCACAGGATCTTCTACTGGTTCATGGCAAATGCCACATACTTGTTCAACAGTAGAATTACTTATCACATTTTCACTTCTTAACACCGCAGTATGAGAATAAACCACAAGGTATGGATGATCGACGGCCTGTATGATTGAGCAAGAGTACAAATGCATATCTGAAATTTTTTGGCATATAAAGGAAATTTCCCAATTCCAACACAAAAACAAGAACTGGAAAAAGAAATGCACAACCATATAATTCAAGGAATCATGATAACAAATGCTGCAGGACAACTCATGTCTACACTAAGGAAAGAGATGAATTATACTTTATCAAATCAAAATTTGATACGATGCTTTTCAAATAAGTCATTCAATTTTAAAATGACATTATTCATTTATTACACAACAACAATGCTATGCTGTCCTTTTATTTCAACATTTATCCAAACTTGAAAGGGAAAAAAAAGATGGATTGCAGGGGAGGAAAGCATAAAACAATCCTGTCCAATGAAAAAATTATCCACCTGACGTAGCCGTGTGAGGAGATCAAATATATGAGCATAATTATTCATCAGAGTATTAGCCTCGACGTATCTGTGTATGACAAAGCATATAAGCCAGGATTAATGTAACCATTTCAAAAATAAAAATCTTAGCAAACAAGAATGGAATTTTTCTATATCAAACACAATACAATTCATATGTTGTTATATTATCAAACTGGTAATATATTTGAATGACTACTCATAAATCATTTTGACAATGCATCCATGGAGTTGAGACATGAGAAAACAAACACAATTAGCCACATGCTTGGTTAAAATATTCAAATGGAACACTGGCATAAGAAGTTTTGACTCATCAGACAACCCTTGTAAACAAAAAGGCACAGTTTAGGATACTTAATTGCTCTTTCATGATTATTTCATGAATAACTCCAGGAATGCAAACCTACCGACAGATTTATTACTACAAAGAATCTGCTTTAAATATTTTCATTTTATGCAATAAAAAGAATGTCACATACGTATTGAACTGTGCCTGACTTTCATTATATAATGATTCATAATAGTCTTGCTCTTTAATATCCAGGCAATCCCTTCTCAATGTAACCTGCAAGAAGAAACATACACAAAATAAGCTTGCACTCTTTCAATATTTGAAATTGCACACTTAAACACACAGGAAACAACTTACAATTCTAGGTGGAAGTGCAAGATCAGTAGCTCTGCCTATTTTAGTGCGCCTTAGCACTATGTTCTTCAAAACTTTATGCTTAAGCAATATCATAGCTCTTTGCCCACGATCATTATTTCCAAACGATTGCATTGGTGTGGCAACATACTGATCAAGATTAAAAAATAAAAAGTAAGAAACATGTCAACATGTCTAAAACAATTTCTACAAAAATTGCAGTTTGCAAAGTTAGTTTCTCTTTGTGTCTCTCTTTAACATGATGATCTCAAAAAAAGAAAAAAACTAACAAATTGCGGAACTTACTTTATTCCACCAACAGAAATGTCTCACAGAACTGTGGGTGCAGTTCGAACATTCTTTAGAACTGTACAAAGGCATCAGCATAAAAATTCAAGAAAAGTAAGCATTTTGAAAATGTACAAGGACTTGTGCATGGATGTTCAAGTGCATGTATGTTATTACACCAATCACTCTCCCTATATAGAACATGCTACTAGCCACCTCATACATAACTAGAATCTTCTTTTACTAACTCATAAAGAGAAGCCAGAAAAACAAATGGGCATAACAAAAACTACACCTGTCTTTCTTATAACAAGCACACGTACTACATATTAGCATAAATGCAAAAATATTTGAAAACAGTAAAAAGAACATTCCAATGTTATGGAAACCACAATTGCTTAGGTACAACAATATATTCTCCTCAAGAAAATAGCAGTGGCTCTGCTCAGCATGAGTGGCAGTCGCTAGAGAATAGGCTGGACATGAAATCGTCATAGCAGTTCTCTAATTGACATGAAATTCATATATCAAGTCCGTATAAACCTAATGCATGCAAATCCACATAGCTAATTGATAAAATGTATTATCATACCTATGATCAAGAATCTTGCAATCACAGTCCTTGCATAAGTAATAGGAATAAGGAGTTATTCGCAGGAATCGTATCTGCAGATAAGGAATTGCAATTAAGATACCTTTTAAACACAGCCTGGTACATAACAAATTTACAGCAAAAAAAACAACACAGCAAACTTACCAGAGAATACAGCTCTCCTACTCGGTTCTGAAGGGGAGTTCCACTTAATGCCCATTTGTAGGAAGACTCTAAAGCAAGAACTGCTTTAGCAGTGTTAGAATGTCTAGATTTTATATAGTGTGCCTGATGTTATATATATTAAGAAAAACTGGTCAACAAAATAGAAGAGTCAAGACTGAACCAATTTTAATAAATTATAAATTTACAATCATTACTCCATCACTCAATGCCTTCAATAAAATAATAAACATTACAATATATGATATTAAAGTTATGATGTCAAAATGCCCACTTTGAGCTATAATTCATTCTTCTCTGCATTTCTCTTAAATAAATAAGTGCTAGCAAAAATCAAGCAAGAATGAAAGCTCAGGTTTTTAAACATACAGAAATGTCACTAATAAGAACAATGGAAAGATATAAATTGCATTTCTTATTTCCTTTTTAAAATATTATATTTATAGAATACTCAAGTGTACATGTAACATAATTTCCAACAATAGTCTATTATTACAACTGACCTCATCCAATATGATCCGATGCCACTTGACAGCATGTAGAAGTGATGTATCGCTATATACAGCATCTGAATCTTCTATTTTCTTGTGTATTTCGTCGTTTTTCTTGTCAAAATCCTCTTCCAATTTTTCACTCCAATGCTTTGACATTTTGTTATTGTCACATTCCTTGATCTTTCCTTTAGTATTTTCACTTTTCTTTTTCTTAACTTGCTTTGATTGTCTTTCTGTTCTAACAGCATGAGGTCCACAAAAATAGTTCTGATGATACAACAACTTGCGCTGCAAAAATAATTTTCTACAATACGGACATCTCTCTTTAGGAGGCATCATATGCCTCCTGTATCCGGACTCAACAACAGAGTATGTAGTTATCACAAAATCATAATCCAAGAACTGCTCCACATTCCTTCCTCTCTTAGCCCCATGATAAACCAGCACCTTGGTGCTTCCTTTTGAAGTAAAGCGGTCAATCTCACTAACCCACTGAGTGACAGCAACCACAGGACAAATGACAAGTGTTCCTTTGATCACAGGCAACACTCTAGATGACGATGGTAAAGGCGAGGGTATGGATTGATCTGGTTCACAATTCCTTTGTTGGAGTTCACGTTTGGAAAGGACAAGGGCAATTGCTTGAATAGTCTTCCCCATCCCCATTTCATCAGCAAGTATTCCACCTCTACTTGCAGAATTTTCCTGTTTCAAAGCCCAGGCTAACCATTCCTTTTGGTATCTAAGTAAAGGCATGGTCAGATCAGAGGATGCCTCAGCAGTTTCATTCAGTACTTCACTCTGATTATCTAAGTCAACATTTTCTGATATATTCTCATCAATCCATCGTTCTTGTTCCTCTTCCCATGCATTCCACAACAACACTGGTCGATAGTTTTTTTTTCTTGCCTTTTTTGTATTTTTTTTCTTTTCTGTTTCCCCCAAAACAAACGTAACTGATTGTTGCAGACCCATTGAGTATTCATCATTATCTCTGTGCTCCACCTCTCTATTTACATCACCCAGTTCTCCATTTTCTGAATTGAAACTTTTTCTCTTCTTTCTGGACTGCGCCTTTCCCCTTTTGGATGAAGGCTTGCCACTGTCAGATGAATCAGAAGTGCTATCTTCACCACTAGAAACACTAATGCTTGAAGTTGGTTCTTCATTCAAGTCAGTTAGGAATTTCCCACCAAATTCTTCATCTGTAAGGAAATTTATTAATTTTTCAGACTTCCCACTGGGACAAAATTCACAGCTAAAATCTGCAGTTAAAAAAAAGTTTCTATGTTCTTCCGAAGATGAAAGGAAAGAAGTTCTCAAGGCAATTTTACTCTGCTTTCTTCCCACCCATAGTCCAACGACAAAGGTTAGACTGTAATAATACATAAAGATACCCACTATCTAGCTAAAAAAATCCTCAAGTTGATATCTTCAAACATTTCAGGGACATCCTTTTGCTTCAAAATGCAGGACACAACTAAGAATACATCCAAAATTTTGCAGGTAAGCCACATACAACATCATGAAAAGAAAATCTTCACTAAATTTAAAACCAGAGAGAAAAACAATATACCTTCAAAATCAGAACCCGAATCAGAATTAGAATCTAAATCAGAAGATATAGCACAAACATCTTTATCTTTATTGTTCCCACATAGGCCATTATTTTCAACTTCCGTCACGACATCGTCCCTAGACTGCTGCTCCTTCCCTGTTTTTCCAATTCACACACCACAATTTTAATGCTAAGTCTGGTAAAACAAAGCGAAACAGATTCAATAAATATTAAATAACATCAGTGTTTGCATTCAACAACACAATAAACCGTTACATCGACGGTCACTCCGTCTTGTTTCTAAACTTCTATCGCTAAAACTACTCACAAACACATTTCGCTTTTTAAAAAAGGCGCAAATACGAAATAGAATCAAGTAACGAACAAGATAACAGCATCAAAATAGTGAGGAAAGAAAAAAACGAACGTCTCCCCGCAACTAAACAGTCGCAAGGTCTACATCCAACCTAGACAGCGAAAAAATAGAAACAATATCTGAAACCGAAAGTAAAAAGCAGCAGCATCGGAAAAATAAAGAATACCAGAAACAGTGGCATTGAAAAGGCGCCGACGAGAACGAAGTTCCATTGACGCAAGAATAAGAGAGCTAGGGTTTCCGATTGAAGCACAGTTTCCAAGAATCGAGAGACGAAGATGATTCGACAGTGAAAACAGTGTTCTCCCACTCTCTCTGTGAAGAAGGAAAGGGTAGTTCCTACTGTTCGGTTTTGTGACTGAAACGGCGGGAACTGAATGCCCTTTTGTATACAGTAGCAAAGCGCCACGCACGAAGTTCAACGTCCAGTGCTGTAATCCTCTGCGGTACACACCATGGTAGAGTAAAAAAAGAGCGACACCAAACCAATGGTGTTGTTTACTCACGACGGTCCCACGTTGTGAAATATCAGTCCACACAGTTAACGGTCAAGATCTCTGGGATTATGTGACATACTATGAGGTCAACTATGGGGTTGCTCTTTTGTGACGAGTCGTTTTTATACATAACGCTTTTCGCCGCACCAACTTTTTCTATTGAAGTTTGAATTGAATATTGGCATTCAAATGGCGTGACTTGTCTTCTTCCATCCACGGTACTTTGTCCTAATAAAAGATTGTTTGTAAATTACACTTTAAAATTAAATTCAATTAATTTTGAAAGTTGCCAATTATAATGTGTATGAGTTTATGGGAAAAGATAATAACAAAAAATGATTTTCAATAAAGAAATAATTTTCTTTCTTGAAACTGTAGTTAGATGTAAAAACTTCTTTTCCTTTTATAAAAAATTGCTTACTTCTTATTCATTATAAAATACTACTACGAGATATTTGTGAAAAAATGAAAAATATTAGTATCAGATAATGACAAGTATTTGTATTTAAAAAGGAAATTGAAAAAAAAAGATAAAAAATGATATAATATAAATATAAATACATTGATTAAAAAAAAAGATTTTGGGCATAATTACCCGTGAGGCATGAGTAATATCAATCGCTAATCTGTCAATTAAAGCGACGACAAAAAATGATGAATTTTGGGCATTACCGCGTAGCAGCCATCAATATTTCAACGTTAGCTATTATCCACGAACAGGGCTATCAATGATTTGGAAGCTGTCCATATATTTTCGTGTGTTATTACCTTTTTTTTTATTATTTTTTTAAGTTGTGTTTAATAACCCATGATATATATTTTTATCAGTTAATATTAATAAAATATTATATTTAATATATGATATAATTTTAAATAAAATTTATTAAACAAAATTTTTTATTAAATTTTTTATAGCATTAAATAATACATAAAATATGAATAATAAATATTTTCAATAGTTAACAAATTTTAAATAATTCTATAATGAAAATGTTAATAATTAATTTAAGAGTACTAATTAAAGATTAAAAAAATACCAACGTCTAACTAGTCAAATTAGCCACTTACTAATAAAATAAATACTTTGATTACTGTACATACTAAATTTTAAATAAATTATATTTTTATAGATTGAAATTTTTAACCTTTATCAACTTCTGTTTTGAGAAATAAACTATACCTTGAAATTATATTATAAGATAAAATAATAATCAACTTTTGGATTCAATGTAATTTTACAGAAATAATCAATTCAATAAAACCTTTCATAAAAAAATTCAATATTTATTTATAAAGTAAATATACCCTTTCATAATACAAAATATATAACTTGAAAAAAAAATCAAACATAAATATAATACACGAAATAAAGAATGCAAAATATATATTTTTTAAGCCAAAGAATATCAAATATAATAAACGGTCAATATAATTACTTTTCTCTCTAAATATTTTATGTCAATTTGTGCCTTCAAAAGTGTTGCATTGGAAATGATTTTATAATGATATCTCAAAACAAATCACCCTAATAACCAACAATATCCTTTAACATTTTAAGTATTTAAATTTTTTAATGTTGTATTATTTACTTTATGAATGTAAAAAAAAAAAAACAATAAATCATATTAAGATTATACACGTCTTTGAGTTTCCTTATATTTACATTATCACATTAAAGACACCTATTAGGCGTGGCTAATTTTACATGCTATCATTCATATAAACAGACGTCACATTGAATGGAAATTAGACATGAAGATTCTCAACTAATAATTCATACATGTTAAATTAGATTCAACTTGTATAATAATTTAAAATTCCAATTATTTTTAAAATGACGTACTATTTCTATTTTTAAATTTATAATATAATCTTTATAATATTCAATATTTCCTCTTTCAAAATTAGATTCTATTTGAATTTAGTAGGTATTTCTTTTGTAAAAAAACATCACACATGCTAAAAAAAATTTATTAATAAAAGCTGGGTTTAAATATTTATAAATAATTTTTTATAAAAAATATATTATTATTATATTAAAATTATACAAATATAATAAATAAATATTTTTAATAAAATTTTACTACTATTATTACCTGTTTAATCTCGATTGTAACAACTGAGATTAACAAAAATTTTATAAAAAAATAGAAAAAATATCCGACAAACATAAAATACAGAAAAGTAGAAATGAAAAGAAAGCTCAACGACAATATTTAACGTGATTGTCCTGTGTTGCCGAACACCAAATTCAAAGTCGTTGATTTGGACTGTAACAAAACAAGAAAACAGATACCAACGTATATTTTAAAGGTGACAACTATATATGAAGAAATTGGCTCGAGTTAAGCCTAGAGTGGAAAAGAAAAAAAAAAAAAAAAAACTGAATCTTTATAAAGATGGAGTTCCATGGCCAATAGCTCTGCCACAAAGCAAAGCATTAGTTGGTATTGGGTACTCATCTCTCCATGAATTGGCAGGCGAATAAACACGAAGATAAAATTGCTGCCCTAAGTAGTGACGAGCCCAATTCTCTGATCTCACATTCCACATTCCCACATTGTCCAAAGGCATGTACACTGCAGTCCATGACTCGGGATACACCTGTGTAGCAATTTAGCATCCATTAAAACACACAGCATTTCATATTTTTCACTCACAACCTCACCACATAGCAAACTTAATGAAAATGGTTTTATTTATCAAAACATGCCCACGCTACCTGAACTGTGCACCGAGAGATTGTGTCTCTCAAATTGTAATTTGACCTTTTTGCAGCTGACCATTGGCCTCCATCCATTCTGAAAATATTGATATCATACAAAATGTTACGTTACTGTGAAAGGTTTGTCTACACTATCTCATAAGATAAATAATCCCATTTAAGTGAGATTTTGTTAATAGAATTTCAATTTTTTTAACCTGTGCATAAGAATGTTAAGAATCTCTATGTAGTAATTTTTTATTTAAAATTATAAATTCAAAGAATTAATGTTATTAAATATTATTATTAAATTGGAATTTTCAACACAATGTTTTAACTTGTTAGTCTATTTAGACAAATTCAATCTATATTTTACAATGGAGAAAGGGAACTTACCCAACAACAAAGAAGTGGTGGCCATCAATGTGCCATGATTGCACAGTGTCTTCAGGATTTTCAAATATAATCTCTACATATCCTCGGAAATCAGCAGCCATGACAGAAGTGTGGAGGTAACCACCACTTCCAGAAGGGTTGTCTGGGATACTAGCAAGGTTGAGCACTCCAGGGATCTTGAAGTAATCAGCAAGTTTAAGTGGTGTATCAGCAGGAATGAAAGAAACACTGTTAACAGCATATCTTTGCTTCCCATTGATAATGGGTGCAGAATTTTGTAGTCTAATTGTACGGGTTGTATTTATCAAACCGTAATGATAGGATCCTTGTGGATTAGGTCTTGGTCCACTGGCTGTCAGATTTCGCCTGGTTTGATTTATTACATGATACATAATCAGTATAGGATATTGGAGGTATTTAAAGATAACATAAATAAATTTAGATCCATAGTCACATAATGTTTGTCTTGTGAACATAGTTCCTTTTCTTCACCAGAAAATAAGCCGATTAGATTTCAAATACAATATCAATATAATTATGTAATGCGTATGAAATAACATTTTGAATATGAAAGAAATTATCTCAATATAATTATTTTGTGTGCAAAACAATCTCCAATTATATAGGCTTAATGAAGCAATATTTTTAAATGATGCTTGTGTCATAAATTTAATTATAAAATTTATTGAAATAAACTAATAACAACTTATTTTGATAAGCTACATATATAAAAAAATATTGGAAAAAGTTTTAAGAAAAACTTTTGAGAGTAGTAGACTATCTCCATAAACTATTTATGAGTTCTTCTAAACATATCTTAAAATGTATATGTAAGAAACTATGTCATGTGTGTCATTTAACTTTTGAAAATGAATTGAAGTAATACCTGACAGAGCGAGCTTGTTCAAGAGACCAATCAACTTGAAATGTTGGCCCTCCTGGGGGAGGACCAGAAACACTTTTTGCTGAATTACTATAATGAAGAATGCAGGTAGCAGTCAAAACTTGTGAGGTGAATCGTGTTGAGGCAACGATATAATAGTCTTGGGGTGGTTGATCAGCAGTAACCAACACAGAGTAACTCTGCCCCAAATGAATGTCAAGGGAATCATAAGTGTTTTGGAGAGTGTGGATTCCTTCCACCTCAACTAGCAACATCTTATGCCCTTGGATTCTAAAATTGATAGAAGTTGTGAGCCCAACATTTGATATCCGGAATCTGTAAGTCTTGCCTGCCCAGGAAACAAGTACATTGTAATTGACAACCATGTATAACAAAATGCTTACAGTTATTGTACTATACATACCTTTATCAACAGTGAAAGTGTAAGCATTGGAACCACGACCATTTATGATAAGCCCATCAGGGAAAGGAAGGTCACTTCCACTGTCTAGAATGGCCCTTAGCTCCTGCAAGAATAAATACAAATATATTAAAATTTTAGGTAAGAATATGATATCTCAAGCATAGCAACAGAAAATGTTCTAGTTACAAAACATGCAACAAAATACCAATAACATTTATGCAAAGCAAGGTACTTAACAGTATGATTTCTCTTGAACCAATCTCCTGCCAATATAGTGAAATCTGCTGCTGGAGGAGGAAAAGGTACAGGAATCACGGAGCGGCTAGCAATTTTGAAGCCACCATAACCACCCGCTGCCTTGTGGAATGCAAGGGAAGGAAAGTAGAAGTAACTACCAATCTGATCCTTCACCTGAAGAACATAAGTGAAGTTCTTCCCTGGTGGGATTGGACAGTTAGTACCATACACTCCATCTTGCCATGAATTCCTTCTCTGTTGCACCCCATTCCTATAAAGAATCACAACATCTGAGTGTGTGTTTGAGTGAGCACTGATAAACTTGAGTCTCAACAAACTTAATTTTGTATATTTATTTTAAAGTGAGTTTAAAATAATATGATTCATGTTGATTCAAACGTAAGTTTAGAAATAATCTTACAGATAAAATTTCCAAACATACTAATACAACACGTTTACATCTTCAAATTTAAATTTAAGCCTTCTAACACCTATCCAAACGTGCGCCTAATATAAGTTTAACATTAAATACAAGTCTCATGATTGTTTCAGCAGCCGATACTTTAACAACAAACTAAACAAAAAGTTAGTCACCAGAGAGAGAGAGTAAACTAACCAAGAGATAAGGAAAGGCTCATCCAAGCTATTAAAAACACTGATGATCAAGTTATCATTGGTCACGGATTCAATCTGTGGTCCTGGGAACTGCCCATTTATCAATATCCCCTGTCATATCATACATCAAATATTCATTTATGAACAAAAAAATTAAGAAAATTAAAACTATACCTAAAGGAAAACAAAAAAAAGTGCCTGTTGTTTATATCCAAGAGGATAGATGTCTCCATAGGTGACATTCCAAGTATAGAACCTATAAGGGTCCTCCCCAATTGCACGTATCACAAGTAACACAACACACAGTAAGAGAGACCTCAATCTCCTCGAGTAACCCATTCTTCAATCTCTCTCTTTACTCTAATCCCAGATGTTTGTGTGGTTAAATGAAACCAAACTAAAAAAGTTGGCAAGCTTTTCTCTTGTTTATATAATAATAATAATGGCTATAACTATTCTTTCTTTGTGCAAGGCATGGCTACACTTTTCTTTTCACTTTTGATTCGGTTTGGAGCTTTCTCTACCAAGATAAGATGGAGTGATGTTGTTATGTCGGTGAAGGGAGAGATCAGAGAATTTCTTCAGAGTGGATCACTCTACCTCATTTTATGAATGTTCGTGAGACTGTGTTATTATTATCTAATGCATGAGCTGTATCCATTTCATAAACCTCAAAGAGAGTGTCAGTGTGTCACTATGCACCACTTTGGGAATATTGAAATGACATGCTGACTTATTTTAAAATTTACATAAATAAATATAATTGAAATAAAATCTGTGAGCAAAATAAGAATAAAAGTTTACTAGAAAAATACGCCGTTATATCTCAGGGCAAGAAATAATGTCATGTATGTCAATAAATTCATTTACTAGTCTGAAAGCATGGGTTCAGATATTATAAAAATAAAATCAAAACAGTACTATAATAGAGTACGATGACTTAAAACTTTATATTAATCATTGAATGCTTCTACAAAATCTAAGGTTTAACTTTATTTTCCCATTGAGTCTTAGGAGTTCATGCTTTTTAATGGAGTATCACAAGATTTTCAATGGTGTCATTATTGGTCACTTTTCTATTGTTGTTTGAGTTATTGACCCATATTAAATTAAAAAGACAAGGAAGACCGAGAGAGATCCTTGTCCATTCATAATCGAGAACAAATCCATTTGAAAATGACCGTACTAGATTCTAGTTTCATATGATATGTTCAAAAAACATTTTCTTCTTTTATTCCCCAACTTCATTGCGCATTTTGCTCATTTTTATTTAGAATTCTGATAAGTTTAATGATGATTAAAATCCTTAATATTTTAATTAAAAAATCACTATACCTTTAAAATTATTAAGATTTTTGTGTGTGTGTGAACTAGAAAGATCCTCCTTGATATTAACACATTTCAAGATATTAAAATAGCTAAAACAATTTTCTACTTTTTTAATAGAGTCTTTTTTAAAAAATATTTAAGAAATTAAAGCCTAATCAGTATGCTTAAGCGTCATCTATCAATTTATTGTTCAATTATTCATAAAAACTAACTATATAATATTCATCAAGTAAAATCCCTATAATAATTAGTTCTTTAAATACATTAGTCTATTTGAATATGTTATTTTATATTTATTCTATTTATGTTAAAAGATTTAGATAAATTTAAATTACGGATAAATATATTAATATGTATAATTCTATAAATAAATTATTGGATCGTACTTGTTTAACATCTTTAAAATTATCTCCATTCCTTCCGGTTCTTAACCTTCAAAAACATTGTGTAGATTATAAGCATACGGGGTTTGATAAAAGACAACTTTTAACATCAACATGAGATTTCTGCGTCTTAACGCTGAGGATTTCAAGTGCTATGGTATTAATTTCTCTTAGTTTTCTTTGAATCTCCATAGCATCAACTTTAAATGTTTTATGCTACTTACGTAGCTAGGCCAAAAATAGTGATTAATTGTCGGGTATGATTGAAATGCCAAGTTTTATTTGCAGAGGAGGATAAATGGAAAATGCATGGGAATGAGAAAGAGAACTTAAAAGATCATATTTGTGGCGAATAAGTCATAAGTCACATATTTCATAAAATTATATTAATATCGAGGCAAGAAATTTGAAGTTCAGCGTACTTTCTCTTACAATAATATATCTGAAATAGAAATTTTAGTAATAAACTCGGCAACACATTCTTTATTATAGATTGAAATTTATTAAAAAGAGTGTATTCCTAACCTTCTTATCCATTATATTACAAGCGCATAAACTTTAATTTATTAATTATACCAACTCATGAGTACTACTACATTGATGGAATGCAAAAAGCGACTTAAACAATGATCAAGTTGACAGATCAGCAAATGATTAAAAGAGTGTAAAATTTTGAAGTTGTTAAGGGGAACTCTCATCAGCAGCAGCAGTACAAGAACAAAGGACCTCACTGAAGCACATTTGTAGGAAGCAGCAACAAGTCACTTGTTGGTTTGAGATCCTTTCTAGTCCAAGAGGGTGTGCTGATTTGATTATGACAATTATCATTGATGAGCTTTTAGTAAAAGCCATCAATGATACCTGTGATGTCAAAGTAACATGCTGTAGCAGCCCAGATCATGTTTGTGAAATAACAGTTTTGTGCACAAGGATGCTCCCATTTTCTGGGTGTTCAGTTCCTTGTTTCTTTCAACTGTGACCTTCCATGCCATGAACACACTATCCATCAGCTTTACCACTTGTTTAGCGTAAGATACTGCACAGCCTGCGTATATAACCAAATTGCAAAATAAAGTTATGTTGTACGCAAAAAATGAATCTCCAGAAAACTAAAATTTCATAATATAGCACACCAACTAGTTATTTACATGGAATAAGCAACACCAAGATGCATAGAGCACAAATAAAAACCAATTTTATTGATTGTTGCACTTTCCAACGAAAAACTGACATTCCAATAAAAAAAGTGCTCAAGATTGATTTACAGTCATATCTCAATCATATTCAATGGTTTAAAATTAATTTTACTAACTTTAAATTGAACGGACATATCATATGTTCTGTAGAATTCATGCCCACAGAAATAAATCACTGCTTAATAATTGCATTATATGCAGCTCCATATTTTTTACCATGATTAATTGCAAAATAAGCATCAGCACTTGCAGCTTAGTACATCCTTAGTATTCAATTGAAACATTTTTGCAAGTGAACAAACTACTGCAGATTCATCCATGGCTTGCAGGAAGTGCTATTGCCGATACTCCTAACTCTTTTTTGTGAAAAAATATGTATTAAAGGGATTATTTTATTCCAAGAATTGCCTAAATGGTTTTTTTCTTTTGGTCTGAAAATTGCCTGAATGGCTGAATCTCAATATCACTAACAATAAAGGGCTTCCGTATTAGTGGTTTGGGCTCAAAGCCCATCATGACGGCATTTCCATTTACTAACAAGTTACATCTTCATTCCACTGCACAAGCCCAGATGTAAATTCCTACTCCAAATTATTGAGAAACAGTATTAGTGCTGGTTTCCCCAAGTTCATATTCTGAAGCACTAATAAATCATACAAAAGCAACCATTTTCTGCTTTAAGAAATAAGAAGCAAACATCCCTTTCATAGAAGAAATATTCCAAAGTATAAACTACTTTAAAATTCTCATCGATTAGGTACACGTCTAGCTACTAAATTATATAAAAGACCAATAATCATAGGTGACGTGTCACTATCAATAATGTTGCCTGCATTAGAAATTATAAAGATCCACTTATGATATATATTATACACTTGGCACCAAGTAATTGGAGAGGGTTTTTAAGTTTCCATCAAGTGAAGTTGAGCGTTTCTATATTTTAACTTTAACTTAACTCGTTATAATAGACTATATATATTCTCCTCAGTTTACATTGGCTAATTTTATGATAATAAATCGGTCTTCACGACTTTATACATGAGAAACATCAGTCAATAGCATTTCCGTACACAATCTACAACCCACCAATAACAAACGCATTCTTATGATATGTGTTTAATTATTGATAGATCTATCTGTTAATTAAGTACCGTTTAAATTGTGGGACTATCTCTTGGTTATTTACTGCTTTATTTAATTAATTAATTCCATCATAGAATATCTAGTTTCGCCACGGATCATAAAAATAAATTACTAAAATTCTTTGAGAGTTAATTGGTGTATGGTTTTCAAAGGAAAAAAACAAAACGAAGAACGTTTTTCATTGATAGACACAAACAGACGAAGGAATAGAAAAGAGCTTCCCAGAGGTCCATACAATATAACACACAATCCAATTGGTTGGATTTGGCATATGAAGAAGAATATTCATAGAATCATACAAAAAGCAGCATAAAAGTACCTGAAAGCAACAGGTATTAGGTTTTTAGTTTGTAATGGCTTGAGATGAAAACCAAGGAGGGACGCTGCACTTTGATGTTATAGATTCCGGAAAAGCAGATAAATTCAACACCAAATATGCTAACTTTCAATGGCAAAACAATGATTGATAGAATGGGCCAAGTGATAACCTATCCAACAAGCCACACCAACGGATCAATCAAGACAATTACCATAAAAAGACTTCATATGAACAATATCTAAACCACACCAATACCAACAAATAGAAGTTTGTAACTTTGGAGTTCTAGAACTTCTAAAGAGTTCTGATGAAAAGATCTTCACCAATTTTCTCCAGCTACTAATAGTAAGAAGAAAACTCCTTGAAATATATTTCATTTCCAACAAAACTTAATAACCTTGTACTATCATGTAACAAGAACCCAAAAGAGGAAAGTTCCTTTAAATTTAATTATTATAAGCTTAAATATGAAGCACATGAACCATATATTAGACAACAATGAACAAGAAGAGATAAGCATACCAATGAACTCATTCATTGAAGGTGAGGAAGTAGGTGAAGGAGTGGCAAAAGCCAAGTTTATGAGTGCAGAAACAAAGGGGTTGGCACTTGACCCATTGGGATCTATTGGAGTTGTTTCCCTCCCTTATTGAAGAGACTTTAGGTCTTAAATAATCATAATGTCGGAAAATAAAATAAAATAAAAAAGAGGGAAAAGTGCTACGTTCATTGAACCTGGACACAGAAAAAATAGTACACAGTAACATTATGGTTCAAAGGTGTAAAAAAGTTTGGTATATGCACGCAGCATCTGTCTAACGTTTTTAGGAAAAGAACAAAGCAAAAAGTATAGAGCATCACCATCATTCACGATGATCTTTAGTAATGTTTCCTTTCCCTTGTGTAAAGGAACACTAAATAATAGTGAAATTTGTCAATATCTCATTCAATGGCCGCACCCTTTTTCTTGTTCTTTGGGTGACACCAATAGTAAAGTATGTATTTAAGTAATTTTTAGGGGTCCATAATGATGTAGGAATATATATAAATTTACACTAAACTGTCATGAGAATATTTCAAGGGAGAAATGTAAGTTAATTGTATCTTAAAAAACTGATAAGCCTTTTTTTTTTACGATTAAAAAGTTAGTTTATTAATTTTATTAAATCAATATATACATGTGTTCTAGAATGGCAGAGTCGTGTATGCATTTCGATTAAAAATATATATATTAGGAATGATTCCCTTGTATACTGTGAAAAAAAAGTATAGATTCGTGCAAATACCAAAATATTGAAAGAGGAAAACGAATTTTGAACTATACCACAAATAAATAATATGTACTTTAAAGATGGTTTATATTAAAGAATTTTCAACTGCCGACAGGAGATCACTCCTATGTTTAACTATAAAGTAACCAGACATTTTGATACTTTGACTTATGTGCTGTCCAAAAACTCAATGGAGAAAACAAGAACGTGCACATTATTTTTTAATTGATATTTTGACGGGGAACTTACAGAAATTAAATTGAGTCAAATATAATATTTTACTAAATTTAATATATAATGTGATTTGATCTTAACATATATATATATATATATATATATATATATATATATATGGATATAATTTTTTTACATAAGTATAAATCTAAAAACTTTTATATTTAATTTGGGTCTTTTATTTAATTTAAACCTAACAGGTTTTATATATATATAATTCACAATAATTTTTTTAAATGAATATTTATTCTTATATTATAAATTTAAGTTTATGCTTTTAAATAAGAATATTTTGAATTTTTTTATATTTATCAATTTATATAATTTTATTTTTAATATTGTATTTTTTTAAAATATTATTTTTAAAAGTAAATTTTAAAATACTGATATACTATCAAATAGAAGATATTATTTTTTAATAAATTAAAATTTAAAATTATCACTCTTTTAATTAATCATCATTTACGTTTACCCTAATTAAATTTATACCATCAATATATCCTAATTAAATTTTTAATATGGTAATTTAAATTTATTGAAGGGGATCAAGTTTCAAGTGACTATCTATACCTCAAATTCATCTTCACCTTGTTTTTTTTTTTCAACAAAATTCATCATCACCTACCATCTATTTGTCAAGAAAAACCAACTTCAAAGACTCCATGACGTATAACATAGAACCAAATAATTTTGTGTTGAAAAAAAAAACCAAATTAATTTTAAATTTCTTTAAAAGTGAATAGAAGTAAACAATTATTTATTTAAAATGAATTAAACATACAAATGACCCAAATATCAGCATGGGTAACTCTCCCAAATAGACATTCAATACTTTATTCATTCAAAGCATTCCTACTTAATCTTTGCAAAATAAGAAATTATAATACTTTTAATTTCGTAATGTGATCAGAATATGGGAAGAACACGTGCCAACTTGGCGGCTTGGAAGATGTTACAATAAGAATCAAGACACGAAACGACATGATATGCGAATCAAGCATGTTCTCATTCATTGCCGAAAGAGCGTGATCTTTTCTTTCTTCTGTTAGGTTCGAATTATAAAATATTAGGCTTTATGCAACTAGAATAAAGAACGTTTAAACAATTTACGACAATAATTTTTATTTTATTTTATTTTACTTTAATAAATTTATTTATATAACTTTTTAAAATAAGTTGTTTTTGACTGATTTTAATAATTTTTATAGTTAAATTTATTATATAAGTCGTTACGTAAAAAATGCTTATAATACGGTCAGAATATAACAAAAACACACAACCTTGGTGGGTGAAAGATGTTACGACAAGAATCGAGACAAGATACGACTACTTGAGATGCGAACCAAACATGTTCTTCTTGATTACCGCTATTTCAGTGTGAAACAATGCATCAACGAATTTTTTTTCCTTTTTCTTGTTCCTTTTGTTAGGTTTGACAATGTGTGATCGAAAGAAAAGTACATATTTGGCTAAACCCTTATACCTCAGTATCCTTCTTGGAGTTCTTGAAAGAGTTCTTGAACATCATCTTCAATGACCATCAAACACGAACAGTTCTAAGGCTAGGATCAGCAAATGTAATCATATACATTTCGTTCTGATTTCTGACAGCTCTTCTTTTACTTGGACATGAAGTTAGCTCCCAATCCTCTTCCAAGTTTCAGGTTTTAATGTGATGACATTTATTGAAAACTTAACCGATATAACAGCACACAGCTATAAAGTATAATCTATATGGTTGTATCTATGGGATAGCAACCAAGCACCCGAAGAAATGTGGCAAATTCCTGTAGGGACATATAATGGTTTTGATATGTGATTAGGTACTGAATACAAGAAAATTGAAGTGGCTAATTAATTATTAGAGCTTCCCAAAACTAAAACTAAGATTGTATTTAAAACAATTGAACAATATTATCTAGTACTTTTTCCCTTGTTTCTTTCAAATGAAAATTTTAAGAAGAGATAAGAGCAAACAGAAGAATTGAAAAATAATTCAAATCATAAAATAAGATGTCAAAGAACAAACCTGTAGATGTCCTAAAGCAGTCTGTGCTCGTGGCTCGGTCATAGACGCCTCAAAATCAATATAGAAAAGGTAATCAAAATACCTAAATTGAAAAATACCATAGGTTATTTTAATGTTTGCATCAACATATAAGAAAATAGTGTTCAATAAATCTAAGAGTCTATTTGCCATAAACTATTTAGCTCAGGAATTGAAGAGAAAAGGAAATAGCACATCCACAATAGAAAACAATTTCGGAGTGAAAAATTAGATGGCATGTTTGAACACTGCTGCAATTAAAGACCGACTAGCTTGAACCAGGCATTGCATGCAGCAATATGATGTGAAAGGCAATTGTCAATTGTAGTGTTCCGATATTAAAAGGAAAAAAAACCCTAACTCACTTGGATGTTCCAGTGTTAGAGTCATCCACAACTCTTAAAGGCCGATTTCTCTGTGGCCGGCTTTCAATCTGAATTCACAATACAAATTGTTAATTTTCTTGTAATCATTATGTAACGAGCTAGACTAACAGGCAGAAGGGTTTTTCTCCAGAGATACCTTGGATAAATTTATGTCCCTCAATGCAAATACTGCTAAAGCCTTGAACAGCACTCCAGGGCCTTCGTCGAGTGTAAACACAATACTTGTCTGAAAATAATGAATACTAGATTCTAGACTCTTTTGTAGCATGATTGTGACATGATATAGATCACAAGGGGCTTTACCTTAAAGGGCTTATCAGCTTTTGGAATTATAGGATCCCTTGCTAGCACAAGATATCGACTGATGATTTCAGAATCATCCTGTACAAGGCATTGAAACCAACACAAGCATTTCTTATTTACAGTAATATGAAGGCATAAAATTCAGCCTCTATTTTTGCTGTTTGTTGACCAATGAAAGAAAGAACGAGTCTAATACACTTTATAACATAAGTTTTCTGTAGTGACTAATTTCTGTCTGACATATACTTGTCATTGGAAGGAATAACACAAAGCAATTGCACAGCAGTTGGCTTATGATTATATCAGTAATATTTTCACCTTATTAACTTAAACCCATTTAAGAAAATTTTCAACTTAAAAAAATTCATATGCTATCATAGGAGTATATGGGTGTAGCTTTTCACTTAAAATTTGTTCAAGGGTGTAAAGAGTATATTCCTAGACGACAAATAAAAGGATAGAAAGGAGACTAGTTAGCAGATATTCAAAATGGATCTAAGCATCCAGTCATCTACATCATTCCCGTACTGAAGTGAAACAAATGAGAAAGAAAAACACAATAAAGAAAGGGTACAAGTAGTTAGATAGTGTTAGGAGTAGAATATAAGGGAAGGGGGGGTTACTTACAATCAGTTAGAACTTAGAATAGTTAGTCAATTAGAAGGGGTTAATAATACATAATAGGGGGAACAAAGGTAGAAGGATTCACTCAGTTATGCTACCATTTGTGAATTGGGCAGCAGCTCAGTTGTAGAAAGGGGAAACTCTTGGAGGGGAATTATCTCCTTTTTTATTGTGATTCAATATTCAAAAGCATTATATTCTCATATTCTGTTTCTGGGTTCCTGACAGATATAAACCCTTTCCACCTAACAGCATAACCTTTTAGGGAAATTATTCTCAAACATGTTGAAAAATTAGAGACAATAGAGGTCTGGATTATCTGGAAGAAAGGCAGAGATGAAGACAATCTAGAAAGGCCATAGGCGATCCACACGCTGCCTCCACTCAACAACTATATTTACACTAGAAGAGAATATGTAGTTGATAACACTTTCATAATTCATAACGGTTTCCCCAATACTATTGCCTTTGCCTTATAGAATGTACACTCAGCTATATGGTTTGTCACTGTCTCCAATCTAAGATGCATTTTTAAGTTATAATTGAGGCAGTACACACACTAAATGGTACATAGCAAGAGATTTTCATGCTCAAGGAGCACCAAATAATTTTATATTACTATGTTTATACTCTTAAACAAGATCACTGCTACTTTATAATTATCACTCAGATCAGAAAAATGCAGCACACAAACTTCTTAACCACAAAGCTTTGGTATTATTGCTTGTTGTAAGGGTAACAAGCAACAAGTAAATTGAAGATTTCTTGCAAATGATGATTGGTAAGGGATTTTACTTGGATTCGTTCCGCAAGTACATTAAGCCCATAGATTTCCGCAGCTCGAATGCTTGCAATTGCACCAGCATCATACAGACCGTTTGAAGCTATAATCTATAATCTCATGTGCCCATTAAGAAAAGCAGAAAACAAAATGATTCTTTACAAAAATACATTAGAGGAACTATGAGTTCACATAAGATATATAGATAGATTACCTGAGCAGCACCAGCTGTATCATCAACATTTTCTCTGGCAACACCTAATTTAGTGAGGAAGTTGTCACTCAAATCAAGAGCCTGAAAGCAAACCCTTCAATTTTTTACAGCTCTATTGTGACTAGTATACATTCAGGAATTCAATAACACTTGTGTATTATTTATAAAATACTACAAATAGATTCAGTAATACATCAAGAAGGTGCCCATTCTTAAACTAACAAAACCCAAATGTGGGTTTGAAAACTAAGTGTTCTACAGACTACTTGCTCAAAATTAGTCACTGTCAAACAAATTAGACAATGTGAAATACTTGTTATATTCTCCTTGTTGTTTCACTAATGGGTATGGTAATTTTTACCCAGCTTTCAAGAAAACAATTCAACCAGTTTGAAACTTTAAAACTCAACTGTACTTTGAAAATTAATTGATTTAATTCCAGGTCCATTCATGGACGGAGAAATGCTATATAAATTTTAAAACTAAAGCAATCTATTACTTTCTAATGTTGCATAGAATCAGATGCGACAACAATAGGTTTCTTATAAAAGTATAGCAATTCTACACTACCACATTTAAAAAAGTGCCAGCAACATAAAGGCTGACCTGAGAATGACTTAGTACACGTTTTAGGTACTCTGTTCTGACACCAGGCAGAGCTAGAAGCGAGAGGTTAGTAGCCAACTGCACCTCACCAACAATGTGAAGCCTATGCCTAAGAAGTAAATCATAGTTACGATGAATGCTTCCCCCAGACGTATTTTCTATTGGAACGATAACTTTATCAGCAATCCATAATTCAACAGCCTGTCAGACATTTTTTTAGTAGGAAAATGAGTGGGGAGAATGGGTAAGGATCGACACATATAACTTTAGAAGGTAGTCAGAAAGACATTGTTGAAGGCCATAAGTCCTTGCCATTGGGAAAGCATATAGCATGTTGAATTGGAAGGTGAAAATCATTTGCAACAAATCTTTAAATATAAGGAATATTAGAGTTTTATCCAAAGATTAGCTTTAAGAATATTACAGATTTTGTCAAACCTTAAAAGCTTCTTCAAAGTCATTGCATGAAACTGTTTCACAATTAGGGTAAGCTTTGAGTGCGGCATCCTCACCGTATGATCCTGGTATCCCCTAATCCAATAATCCAAGCAAATAATGAACCATGGGTATCAAATCATGCGGTGGCAAGCAGCCAACCACACATACATTGTGATCATACCTTATATGATACTCGTACTTTAGCACCACCATCAGAAGCAGCCACAATATCAGATATGGATAATGGCTCTGCAATTAGTGACAAAACAGTAGTTGCAAAATCTGAGATCTGCCAGTAAAACTCGTAACAAATTATAAAATGGCAATGCATACAATCAAACAATAATGAGATTAGATGGAAAAGAAAACAGAATACGATCTCTAACTTTCTAAATAATTACAACTAGTCTCATCATAGCACTATAGCTCTTTATATGAGTAGATAACTTTTTCGTAAGATGCATATCAAATTCTGAACAATGTTTCTCAGCATTCAAGAACATGAATGAAAGTAATGAGAAATGTAAGATAGTTTAAAGAAACCCCCCCCCCCCCCCAAAAAAAAAAAGCACAAGAACAGTTGTGTGAAAAAATAATTTTAATCAACAGACCTGGTTCTTATCTATATTTGATATTGACATTCTCAACAAGTTCCTTCCTCATATTGGCAAAAAATAGAATAAAGTAAGAGTCCCCTCCTCATTATTTTGTAATTCTCCCGGGGAGAAATAATATCTAAAATTCCAAATCTTTCACCAAATAATCACATCATCTTGCCCACATTTCATCGGCCTACTTTGACTATAACAACAAAAGCTAAAAGCAGCCTGAGAATTTTTTTTTTTTCTTCTTTATCCACTCTTTAGTTAAGCAGTGTTAGCAAAATTCCTAATTTTGAATCAGAAGTTCACTTGCATAAAATTAAGTGACTCCAAATCAAAACTTGTGTATGCTATACTCCAAGCTAAAGTGTCAATGTTTATATTTTCTCACCCGGGCCCAGTATACTCCTTATCATGACTGATAACAAAACGTAATAAGCCACTATTGCATCAAGTTCAAAAACTAATATGCACCCAACCACGGTCTTGCAAAAGTTGTCAAAAGAAGTGTGCAAGTCCAATTAACCATTTGAAATATATATATATAAGTACATAAAACCAGAATTCATTCATTCAATCATACAAAGCAATCAAAAAACAACAGAATACACTAAATCCAACATGGATATTCAATGCTCACAAACTTTCAACACAGTTCCTTAAACAATACTCCTACAACCATCTTGAAGAAAGTGAATAATAGTAGACAAACTGAAAAAAGCCCACTTGGAAGGGAGACTAAATCCTTATGCGATCCATGGGAGACATCACCATCCATTTGATGATGATCAACCAAATGCGCCATTATCTTCCCGGGCTTCCATGGATTCTCATCCTCCAAAATCCTCATGGCTCCACCAACACACACCCCACCAGGGTACACCCATTTGCGTGTTCTCTTCAGTGCAAGAGAAGAGCGTCTTGTCCTCAAATTTTGACAGCAAAGTTGAGAACTTGCAAGTTCAGCTACACCAAGAGATGTTGTCGCAGCCATAGAGATAGAAAAGGGTCAACGATTCTCCCTCGTTGAAGTGTGTTCTCTGAGACCCAAAACCATTACTAAAATCTAAAGTGCAAGTAAGAGAAAAGTTAAAAACTTTGCTTGTGTTGAGGAGAAGAACACTTGGTCAGAATTCATGTTGCATTAAAATAAACAGATAGGGACAAGAAATTTGGGGATTCAAGGAATATATGAATTGATCAAAGGAGGGATATGCAGGGAGAGAAAACGATGGCCAGAATAATAGTAGTAATAATAATTATTATTAAAAATAAAAATTGTATCTTGGATAATTAAATGCAGTCCCCCTCTGTTACTTTGCTTGTAGCTTCTATGATTTGTTTGATTCTGTGTCTATTATTTGATTAAGGATGGTCTGGGTAATCGCTTGATAAGCAAATATTTGCTGAAATTAATTTATTTCTAAATAAACGCTTAATATATATTTTTTTATCATATAAGAATTTATGTACTTAATTTGATAATTAAATTCGTTTAAAAATTTATAAAAATTATAAACTACTTTGTTTTAAAATTCTCAATTAATTTTTATATCAACCAATTCATTTTTTTTCTAAACACGTCTTAAATATTTTTTATTTTTTTTATCTCTGGTGAGAAAAATAAGTTGGAGAAAAAACGAAACTAACTTATTAGTAAGAGATTTGAGTTTAACTCAATTCTAATAACTAGCTCAAAGTAGAAGAGAAAATGACTACACAAGTGCTTATAAAAAATATTCTAACTCAATTCTTAATTAATTTAAAACATTTTAGCACCAACATAATAAAAGTCATGAAGAAGAATAACCAAGGAGTTGGATTCCAAAAATATATAATACAAGAAAGAAGCTTAATAAAACGAGTATTTAAAAAAAAATATCTATTTTTTAGGCTTACAGGTTTTTTTAATTATTAATTTTTTAATATTTTTAAATAATAATTATATTTTTATTTAATACTTTAATTTATAAAATAAAAAAAAATATGTAAAAAAATATAATAAAGTCAACAAATAAACATCATTAAATTCAAAGGTAATAGCACCATACGAAGAGAGGGCCCCGTTTGGAGAGCAAATCTGCAGCAGCGTTGGCTTTCCCATAAATATGATTATTTGATTGCAACAAACCAACCACTTATATATAATATATTTATTTAAAGAGGAGTGAAGCGTAGATAATAAGACAAACTATTAAATAATTTATCTGATTCATAAGATGGGAAAAATGAAAAAGAATAATTATCTTTTTATTTATTTTATAAGGAAAAAGGAAGGATACAATTACTTATTTTAGTATATCTTTTAATAAAAAATAGATTATAATATTTTTAATATTTTATCTTATTTACAAGTGTAAAGCGATTGTCATTATAAATTATACAACAGTTATATTAAGTAATAAATTTGTATTGAAAAATAAAATTGAAAAGAAAAATATATTTGAAATCAAAATTTACCCAATCAAATTAAAACAAATAAGAGATTAGCATAATAAAAAATGATTAAAAACTAATTATAAATCATAATAGCATAAATGTGTCATAAATCACAATAATAAAAGAACATCTTGATTATATATAAGATGATAAAAATACAGGAAACAAAAACAATAATATACATAATCAACAAAGCATGTGTAAAAGCAAGTATATTAATATGTGAAGGAGAGCCAACCAGTAATTACATTGTTAAACTATTGGAATTCAAATTTTTTTAACTACAGCCCTACAAGTGAAAAATTTTTGCTCAAGTAAAAATGTAAAAAATAACTTAATTACATGGTGCAATTGACACAAGAGAGAGAGAGAGAGAATTTGAATCATAAATATAGAATTTTGTTCTTATATAATTTATACAAATGAAAATACAAATTTATTTTTTGTTTTTCTTACACAATAGATATTTTCATTTACGATTAAAATATTTTTATGTTTTTTTAACAAAATATGTCTATGCAAAAATAGAACATTTTATACAAGTTTTTGCTAAAAAAAATTTATATACTTTATCATTTTTTAAGAATCATTTCTTCCATTATGTTAGATATTAAAAACAATTAATTCCAGTTTCAAAGAATATATCTCTTTTAATGAATAAATAGAAATACTATTTTATCTATATATGACAATGTCATTTTGATGTTTAGTCTCAATGACATTACATCTTTAAAAATATCAATAAGTCTTATATTAAATAAAAAGTTTAATATGATACTTAATTAAGTTGTGAGGTTTTTTTTTTATCAAACCAATTAGTCTTTTATACAAATTTATGATTATGACATGATAATAATTTTAAATATGACATTGTGTTTGAAACGCTGCCTCCATGATTGAGAAAGAAGCTAGCAAAGCAATTGAAATATATAGTTAAGAATTTTTTAATTGTATATAACTTTTGTCTTCAATTCTTTTTATTTGTTTATTCTTAAATCAATTGAAAAAAACACTATCATTTACATTTCTTCTTCTTTATATATTTTCAATCTCTTCGTCCAAAAAATGTATCCTAATATGCAGTTGACTTTATTAAACAGTTGAAAATTATATAGATATAAAAATAAAAACAAAATCCATAATTGACTTCATTAAGTTTTAAAAAAGTATATATTTAAAAATGGTAAAACAATTGAAAGTAATTACAAATAAATTAGAATAACAATAGATAAACTCCCTCGGCGCCATTGTTGTACTTTTTGACCGTAGAAGCTAATGCATGTGTCAACTTTCCCTTAAATCTTAATTATCCATTCCCTTGCAATGTTGCCGCACCAGAATTTTCAGTTTATTTATGTAATGTATCTAAAAAGACTAGAGGGCACGTTATATATATTTTCTCTGGTCTCATAATAAGCTATTGACTTATAAATAGCTGAATTACTAGTAAGCAGAAAAAAGTCAAAAACAATGTGACATTCACGTTCAGAAACTGAGCAAAGATTTTGGACTAATAATTTAAGGTTGAAGGGTTTTCGTAAATTAATCAAGCTGAAACAGTGAAAATCATATTGTTCACTTAATGAAGCCTGATTTTAATAGAAACTGATAGTGTAATAATTCGTCCAATGTTATGGGTGGAGAATGACAAGATAGTATATGATCCCATTAAGGGATTTGGAATCCTTTGCTGAGAAGAAAGCACTCGCACGATCAGCAATAATGAATAATAGGAAGAACAAAACCACAATTCTTTTGTCAAACATGAAAGAGATGGGTATCGACCTCTTCAGAGGTTCACACAACAACTGAAGATATAAGGCTGATTTCTATGAGTTAGGTGGGTAGGTGACACCCAAAGTATTTGACTCTGTTTAAATCAAAGGAACTTGCGCGTCATGCAGTTTTGCTTTGGCCAGCCTGTGACACTATTTCTGCTGCAAAAGAAATAATAATAATAATAACAACGATAACAGTAGTAATAAGAAAAAATTATTGAATAATTTATGAGTTGGTATAACTTATAGTAATATAAACTTAAATGATTGACCTAGAGGTGAAGACCTCATTGAGTTTTATGTAATTGATGCATATCATATATTTAAATTTTAATGTATGTATAATTCTTTAATGTTAGAATATAAAATTTAATTCATCTTTGAAAGTTAATTCTATAAAAAATAAACCTTATAAAATAGTATTGACTTATTTATATTTAGTCAATGCATAAAAATTATTAAAATAATTTGTCTCTTCGAATAATTTTTTTTTCATATGATCAACAATCAAATCTTATTCAACATATATATATATATATAAATTTTGACTATTTTTCGTTTAGATGTGGTGGAATTTTGTTAATAAAATTAGACCAAATTCTTATTTTAGTTTTGAAAATAATAAGTATTAAACATTTCAGTTCCTAAAATTTTAAAAATATTACGTTAGTCTATAACTTTTTTTTTTGCTACACATTTTAGTCTTTAAACTCATACCTAGACAATAATAAATTACTAACATGTTAAGTTAAATGACATATATGATTGATTTTGTGAAAAAAATAATATTGTATGTAGTATAATATATATTTTTATTTTATTTTAGTTCTTAATATTGTTATTCGTTAAGCATTTTAGTCTCTAAAATTATCACCCTCCATTTTAGTTCTAGTATAAGAACTATTCGTTTACTTCTCCTTTATTTTTCCTCACCAAAAACTACCTCACCTCTGCATTTTTCATTGGCAACAAAGTCACTGCCATCCAACACTAATAATCCCAACTAAGCCAAAATAGATGTTAGATTAATTAACACAAACTCATCAATCATGGTAGTAAAATAAGAACATATTTTTTTGTAACTTGTTCAAACAAGAACTTTGATACTATCGACTTTTGCATACCCATCAATTATGATGAGAAAGAAACAACATTCTTCTTAGACATAACATCAAACACACCTTAGTACAACTCAAATCCCCACCTTCCACAAACTCTTGCATCATTGTGTTCTAAGAAGCCATATTTCTTTGCAACATATCATCAAATAATTTATTCACCTTCATAATATTCAATAGGACATACCCAACAACTATAGCAATCTAAGAAATCAAATTCCTTTTTGACATTTGATCAAACACCTCACGAGAATGGCCAATCTTTTTACATTGATAGTATATATTGAGCAAATAGTTGATGGCGATGGTAGTTTTCAAAAAGGAAGAATGAAGAAAAAGAAAAAGATATAAATAAAAAAATTTCAAGAAATAAGGACTAAAATAATTATTCAATAACAATTTTAGAGACTAAAACATTTGACTGCTAACAATCTTAAGAATTAAAAGAAAAATATATATTATATCAGATATAATGTTATTTTTGTTATATAATCAATTATATATGTCAGAGTTATTGTCTATTAACAATGTAGGAGTGACTAAAATTTCTAAAGAAGATGAAAACTAAATGCTAACATGATACTTCTAATATTTTAAAAACTAAAATGTCTAACGTTTAATATATTTCAAATCAAAGCAAGAGTTTAATTGGTAGGACTTTGTTAGTATTAAATTTAAGTATTTGAATTTTAATCATGCTTTTAAAATATCATCATATTAAAATATTTTTCTAATATAAAGCGGAGAATAATGAGTACTACATTAAACTACCCAATAAAAATTATTAGTATAAAGTTAATTTCTTATTTTATTTTTTAAAATTA